GGGGGGGGTAATGAAAGTGTTCCAAAAAGGCAACATTAATTTTTTGATGACCTAATAGAAGAATAAGAAACCATGGTAGTCTTTCCGTCATAACAAAACAATATAATCCAAGTTTTATTTTTAATCGATTCAGTTGAACCTCTGAAAGTTAATTTTCAGCTTCTCGTTTTTTAAATAATAACATTGTATTGTTGAAAACCTTACAGAAAGACTAAGTTGAGTTTTTCGTGTTACTTTACTTTTTAATCACTTCATCAAAACAAATAACCCCGTGAAATTTTCTAGCGTTCTTTAATTAGCATCTTAATAATCCCATTTAATTTTCAAGTGTTGTTTAAATATTCTTTGAATAACCTCGTTAAATTTTCCTGCGTTGTTTATATATTCTCTAAATAGCCCGTTAAATTTTCTAGCGTTGTTTAACTAATCACTAAATAATCCCGTTACGTTTCCTAACGTTGTTTAGGTAGTCTATAAATAACCTCGTTAAATTTTCTGGCGTTGTTTGAATAGTCTCTAAATAACCTCGTTAAATTTTCTAGCGTTGTTTAAATAATCTCTGAACTTGCAAGCAATATGTATAAATCAAGTAAAAATTCCATACACATGTCAAACAACAGTACAAAAGTGTAATATTACATGCATTGTCTTTTACTCTACCTGAACACAAATGCCAATATCAAAAGTATAATATTATTAGCAATGTCTTTCATTCTACTTTAATGACAGGAAACCATTATCAAAAATGCAATATTACATGCATTGTCTTTCACCCTACTTTAATATGAAGCCATTAGTAAAGTGTGATATTACATGAAGTATTTTTGACTTTACGTAAACATGATTCCGATAGTAAAGTGTAATATTATACGCAGTGTCTTTCATCCTACTTTAATATGAAGCCATTAGTAAAGTGTGATATTACATGAAGTATTTTTGACTTTACGTAAACATGATTCCAATAGTAAAGTGTAATATTACACGCATTGTCTTTCATCCTACTTTAATATGAAGCCATTAGTAAAGTGTGATATTAGTAAAGTGTGATACATTGTCTTTCACCCTACTTTAATATGAAGCCACCGTATAATATTACACTTTACTATCGGTCTCATGTTTACGTAAAGTCAAAAATACTTCATGTAA